ATGATCAAAGAGATCAAAGTAAAATATCCGGCTCACTGAGTTTTCTGTTCAGTAACTAAAAGCGCCATAACAGACAGACAGACAGACAGACAGACAGACAAGTTTATTCAGTAAAAGGCCACAGGCCCATCATACAGTCATTTGCATATGATATAGATAGTATAGTGCACGTGCTGTGTAAGAGGAACATTTTTGTAATGCGCTGAAGTACATGATACAGAAAAATACTGACATCTCTTATGATACAATCATTATGTGTTTTCATAATATTAATAAAATTGGCATTTGGATCAAAATCAGTAAAATATTTCTGAATATATCTTAACCTTAAATCAGAAAAACGTTCACACTTAAGGAGAACATGGAATTCATCTTCAATAACATTTATGTCATCCAATTTACAAAAAAGACATAATCTCTCATTGTTATTAACTTTATTGCATCTTCCAGTTTCAACAGCTAAATTAAAATTACCACATCTAAATTTAGAGAGTGCAGATCTGAGATGTAAAGGAATATCAGAATTTAAATACCTTTCCACATTTAAAAATGTCTTAAATTGGGAGTAATAAAAAAACTAATTAGAATTTTGAATTGAAGTGGACCAACATTGTTTAAGATTATCCGAAAGTCTCTGCTTAAACAAGGATATGAAATAATCAACATTGCCAACATTCTGACTGATCCATGCATAGCCAAAACCATACTTAAATAAAATATTTTTGACACAAGTTGCCCAAGTAGTGCGGCCAACATCATCGAAGGACTTGAGCATAACATAACAATGTTTTGGCAGTCTATCATAAGGCATATACAATACGTGACACCAGTATTTAATTACTTTAGTCATATAAGTAATTTGTAGAGGAAGTCTGCCACAATCACCAAGAGCCATGTTATTACAGGTAGATTTACCAACTTTCAAGAAATATTTACAAAATTTTACCTGAACAGACTCAATGATGCTACAATAGTTAATACCCCAAATCTCAGACCCATAACACAAAATAGGTGAAACCATACAGTCAAAAACCTTAAATAAGTCTTTACAATTTACTCTTCCCATCTTTTTTTGAAAACCATTTACAGAAAATATTGCCTTGTTAGCTTGAGATACCAGAAAGCTTTGCGCTTTACTCCATTCAAGCTTTGGGGTAAATACAAGTCCTAGATATTTATAAAAGGACACAGTTTCAATAGGATTACCATTATAGAACCTCTTTTCATATTCCCGTAATGGCCCACCATTTCTAAAAACAAGAACTTTTGTTTTACTAAGATTAATTGACATTCCAGTTTCTTTATAAAAAACATTCAAGTGCATTTATCTTCTTTTGTAACTGATTACAAGTATCAGAAAGTGCAGAAACATCATCAGCAAACATAAGTGAACACAAATTGTTAAAAAAAGATGAAACATTAACACCTATACCACCTTCCTGTTCCATTAAGGAAAACAACTTATTAATAAATATGATAAACAGCTGTGGGTTTAACACACAACCCTGACGGGTACCAATACTACATGTAAAACACTTAGATAAACCCTTTGAGGTTCTAACACATGCAGATAAACTGCTGTACATTGATGCTATTATATTATAAAATTTACCAGAAATACCAACTTCAGCTAAAGATTTCAAGAGAACAGCATGTCCTATTGTGTCAAATGCCTTTGAGAAATCAATAATAAGGCAATAAAATCTACGTCTCTTTTTACCAGAATATTTTTGGGCTGAAGCCTGAAGAGAGGAAATATGACCAATTGTGGAGTACCCTGCTCTGAAGCCTGCCTTGGACTCATTAATAATTTCATGTGCATCGCACCATGATTTTAAACGGTTATTCAAAATATAGGAAAATGTTTGACAAATAGAATCAATAAGATATATACCCCAATAATTAGATTTTAGTCAGTAATATTGGCCAACTGGCCCATGTTACAATTATTGTTACAACATTATTGTTGTCACGTGGTAAGAAATAGAAAAACTATAATTAAACACTGTTTCAAACATTCTTGGAGAATACACACTCAGAAATTCGGTTATTCATTTTAAGGTACATCTATTTTGTTAATTTAGCAAATTTATGATTTGGGATTTACAAACTTATTTGCCATCGAGACATTTTAAATATTTTTCCTCAAATGATTATATTCTGAACAGAGTAGTAAAATATGAAATTAATCCTGCACTTATCCGCTACCACAACGGTTACATAAAGTGGGCTGTGTTTCCTTGTTTGGTCTGGTTGCATTCACATACAAATATGTAGAGAAATTAGGAATTTACAAACTATCTTGAGCAGCGTCACATCATGACAGAGGTACAGTCATGGGACATAAGTATTCGTCAGTCGGCGAAATTCTCATAGACTTGCATGTTATTTAGTGTAGCTGTAATGATTTTCATTTATTCAGTTTTCGTTATTTGGTTGTCAAATTTTGCAGGTTGTTAGGAGATTATCTTGGTCACAGAAACTTAATTTCCATGTAATGTTCCTTCAAGTATTTTTCGCATCGTAGTTTTATGAGCAACATATATAGAACATTGTGTATTCCTTCCCCATAGACCGCCATGTTAAAAATTGTTTTAACCATTTAACGCATCAATCAAAGTGCAGTCATTCTTGAAATACGGAATGGAAAATAAAACGGAAATTATGTCTTTGCAGCTGAGATGATTCATGACACATGTGCAAAATATGAACAAGATCAAACTACGAATAAATTCAAGATAATTTTTCTAGCTGCACTAAAAATAACTCTATGGAAATTATGCACAGTGACGAATACTTATGTCCATTGACTTGATGTTATACACGCTTCAGGGTAAAATCCTAATTTTACAAGACTATCATTACTCAAAAAATGTAAAGCTTGTACATTGGCTTGCCAATTTTGGGCATAAATATTCACTAATCTTTCCCTAAACACAAACAAGAACAATTTTTTATCTCCAACATTTTGGTATAACCATACGTGTGAACACCCATCGGCAAACAGTAAAAGACGGATAGCTGAAACCCAGTTCATTTTTCCAGTTCTTTCAACATTTTATAACATTGATAGGGACATCCAATTTGATCCAATATTTAACAGCTCTGTGTACTTAAAACAAACCTATTCGTACGACAAATTTCGCCTAATATTGCCTTATTCGATGCAGATTTCCCAACACACGGGAAACGTTTGAAATATGATATTTGCACCATTTCAATACAGTCATGATATTTAAGGCCCCAGATTTCCGAAGCATACAACAAAATTGGTGCATTTGTAGCATCGAAAATATTGCATGCTGTAAAAAAGAAAAGAAGTTGTTGTTACAAAACAGTGTGTATACAGGGAAGACGGCTTTAGAAGCCTGCAGTGCAAGAGTACTACATGCTGTTCAACAAATCAGCCTGGAGGAGACATGATACCTACATATTTATAATACGATACAATTTTCAATTGTACACTACCAAATGTCCATTGTTCATTTTTGACAACTATTCCCCTGTTTCTGAATACGACTATATTTGTCATGTCACATTTAATTGAAATCCCCATTAATAAGACACAATATGTGCATCAGCTTTTACAAATATAAGAAAAAAAACAGGTGTCAGTACACACTTAATATAAGGTGCTAATGGCAGTAAGGTACTAAAAGTACTTGCCTGTTAGGCAGACAGCTTTCTCTTTGACCTGTTTGACGTTTGTCACGGCTTGTCAGCTCCATGTGGAAGGAAATTCCTACGAGATTTTATCATTTTCCCCACGACCGTTTAACCTGGGGTGACATTAGATGCTATTGTTAACGATTAGAATTGGTATGTTTTTACTGCTCAAATACAATGTTTCATCTAAACAGTGACTCGTCCTACACAATACTCAATGTTGATGGCTTATATGTTGACGCCTTGGGGTTCATTTATTGATAGTTTAAATATTAAATTATAAGGCTAGTAAACTAGCAGTTAGGGGAATGGGAATGGAAAATAAGCAAGCATTATTATGTTTCAAACAAGAGTAGCATACACAAGGCCATTCCTTCGTTGAAAACAGAAGCGATTATTTCTCCTTGGCAGCTACTTCAGATTGACCATGAACAAGATGAGGGACAGTGATAAGGGTTCCAATAAGCACGTATGTTTGCCATTCAATTTAATGATTTCAGCATTATGAAAAAATCCAATTTTAACATGACAGATACAATGAGTAAGCCTATTTTGGTTTCTGGACATAGTTTAAATTACATGTTTTAAGCATATAAATAAAAGTGTCGCAGACAGACTGTCACTCAGAAGAAGTTTTACACAAACTGAAACCAATCTAATAACTGACTGTAGTTATTTTAAGGTGTGGTGCATTATGATGATAGGATATTTATATAGCGCACATATCCAGGCAGTTAGTGCATGCTCAAGGCGCTGGTATTCATGTGGCCACCATCTGGTAATGTACCAACGGATTCGTGGGTTCTTTAAAGTGCACAGGGTTGTGTACTGTACACTAGGGGTTGTGACAACACTGAAAGAGTCTGCACACAAAGTTAACTCAAAGGTTTTACACCCGGTCACAGGTGGGCTTGATCCCGACACCTCAACCTCGCTGGATCACTAGCCTGGCGCCTTAGTCAGCTCCCCCACCGCGCCCCACACCGCGCATTGCAGATGCATTTACATTTCACTCAAATATAACGAGTGATCATTGAGAGCGGTGCCTGAAAGTGTGTTTTCTAACCATGAAGTCTACAGTTTTAATATCCCAAGACACAATAGTTCATACGATTATGGCCAGTGATAAAAAGTTCATACTGAAAACACATTTTAATGTCCAATGCTCAGTGTTTATTATTTCAAAATTGTACAAAGATGATGAGTGACTGTATCAAAAACCGATATGTGTCTAGACAATGATATGAACCCCAAACTTCCACCAACAGAGCTTGACAGGGTTTTACACCCATGTTATTTGTTAATTCAACACACGGACGGTAGAAATTATGCCGAGATCGTTAAAATGCACACGAGATTTCCGAGAGGCCATCTCTGTTGATAAACAATGTATGGCTAGACTTTCTAACAAGACTAGCGATTTCATTGGATGATCTTTTCAGGAGAACTAATCAAAGTAAGTGTTTCTTTCTTTCTGTAGTTCATAATCTGAACAATTACATAGTGAAATTCAGTCGATAATTTATCCGATCCACTCGTAACAATTGACAGTTAACTACTTTGTGTTACGCACTTGTTTTGAACGGTAAGTCAGGGTAAGCAATTCAACGTTTAACCAAAGTAATTTCCTTTGCTCATTTAGGACACTACAGATATATTCTAGTGCGTATTTACAAAATGTCTATGTATATTTTACACAGAAACACAGCCAAAGTTCCATAAACATAGGTTCACAGGGTTTAACACTGGTACTGTTGGTTAATTCAACAGAACAGCCTTTACGTAGTATTTTGACCAAACGACTGAATAAATTCTGTTCTGTTAGTAGATCTGGTTTTAATTGAATTGGTCTGTCAGGTCACAGGTGATCTTGCTCGAACACTTCTCGATGGTGTACTTGGTCCATCCGACTGCTGTTGCTGCATCCTCTGGGTTTGCTGTGAGGAGACAGTTGGGGGCAGCTGTTGGGTGGTAGCTGAAACTCAGGCAAGGCTGGGACAAGTGACACTGGAGACCGCAGTCATTGGCGGAGGCAGCCGTGAGAGACTTCAAAGGCGATGCTGCTTTGAAGTTGCGTTGTTTCTGGTACTTTGCTCCTGAAGCGAAAAAATGAATAAACAATGTCACCAGTGACAATGAAAGTAAACCACGCTGGAGATAACCAATCTTCTGGTGCCAGGCGTCTGAATGTTAGTCTGAGCACGATATGACAGCTTGCAGCTCGTTACAGCCAAACAGGTATAACAAATGACCGTCCGCGTACAGGCTGACCTCGAGTCACCACTGCAGCCAATGATCGGTACATCCGGGTACTACATTTGCGTGATCGTACTGCCACAGTTTAGTGCACAGCAGCAAGGGTGCCTGGAATTTGGAGGATATCTGGTCAAACTATACGGAACAGGCTGAGAGACACTGGACTGAGAGCCAGGAGACCCGACGTCGGGACCGTTCTACGTCGTTAAAATCGCGCTCATCGTCTCCGTTGTCTAGACACGTCCTTCCTTTAAACTGATGTACAAATTCACGTACTAAAGTCTTTTTGTGGACGAGTTATACATGTTTGAAAATGAAACATTTTCGCAAGAGATTTCTGGGTTATGCGTTTCTTTTTTCTGAATAGTATACATATTTTCAAGAAAGAAAAGCTGATTTGACTGATGAAGGAAGAAAGTTCGATAGCTTATGAAAATCATGCACATAGATTAACAAATGTATTACCACTTCTTCTCAGGGGCGTGCCTTCAACCTCAATTTCCGAAATCACTAAAATACCAGTGAGGTTTCTCCAGACCTTCACGAATCTGACTGGTTGTGGGTGGGAACAAGTAAACGTGAAGGTGTTTCCTACACCGAATACTTCTGGACATTGGCCGCAGATGAAGATGTCCGGGTTAGGGCAGTCGAGGCTGTTATCCGTGGACACACCAACGTAAGAACTCCCCAGGTCTTGTCCTATTTGATGCACGATTAACACAATAAGTTGTCAAAACATCAGTGATTGGCAGCATGCAGTCAAAAACATAAAGAATTTCACAAGAAATTACATAAACTGTGAAGATGTGACTCTCCATGTCAAACAACGTTTGAAATTTCATGTAGGTCTAAATGGTTAATTTAACTCGGAGTACAGTGTGATATCAAATTTGTAATGCTGCATATACTTGCATCTGTACTACTTAAGACTGAACATACACTTTTAAGTGGACAATATTCAGGTAACTTTATTTACGACTCACCATGGCCATAGACGACGTCACGCGTAACTGAGATGTTGTGGACAGTGAAGTATCCCTGTAGATCCCCCTGCCAGTAGGGATTCACAGTGGACCAGGTTCTAGCCGGTAAGGACCCGGGGTTACCATCATTGGCATATTCGGCATTCCAGTAAACACTGTTGAGTTTACTGGGCTTTGCCAGCATAATGTTCTCCGCCTTGTTTACGAAACCACCTGAAAGTATAGTAATGCAAACTGTTTTATTCAATATGAAATTAGATCAGACACTATAACAATTTGTGTGCAACCATCCAAATTCGAATCTCCATATTAGCACAGATTTGTCGGTGGGTGCTCCGGACTTCAGCTGACTTTTGATAGCCCATGTTTGTCGTAAAGGAATTGCCCATTGTCGATGACTTTGTTATTGCATAAAATAAAATATTGTCATCATGCGATACGATGACAGAGCATGTATTTAAGCCATCGTACCCAGCTTGCGAAGATCGACGATCCAACTGCGTGGTGAATAAGTGCGTGTCTGTGTGTATAGATGAATGGACGGATGGATGGATGGATGGATGGATGGATGGATGCCGTCATTGTAGAAATGTAAATAGAAATGGAAGGAGTGGCGTTCAACATCTTGTAGCATTCATACTTGCTCACTGTCGTACCGTGGACTTTCCTGACACAAGAAAGGGACATTGCACATACGTTGATTCGTGGTTTTGAATGTATTGCGTCAAGAATGTCATTATTAATCATTCCTTCAGGCTTCAAAATGCCTGGTTATGTCAATGGTACTAAAAAATATTTCAACATTACATCAGGAGCAACAGTAGCAGCAACACTAATCCGAGGCATCAACGGAACAGAATGTCTTGTTGAAGAAAAGGGGTTCTGCTTCATCGCCAAATGATTGGCATTATGATATGGATTAGGTAGTGAAACCGTAAAATAAGACAAAAACCATCTGTATGTTTTTAGATGAACACAGACTATCAAATTTAGTATGTGCATACTTTCCATATACCTATTATGTGATGTCCCTCAAATCTAAGCTACGTAGCAAAGTATCGTAATATTATCAAATATTCTCATGGCATCCTCATAAATAGAGTCCGTTTGAAAAGGGTACATGTATCTTATTGATTTGTTCCCTTGAACTGTTAGTGAGTGAGTTTAGGTTTATGCCGCACAATATTAAAACTATATGGCGGCGGTCTGTGAATAATCGCACACTACCAGACCATCCAGTGATCAACAGCACGAACATCGATCTACGTAATTGGGATACGATGACATTTGTCAACTAAGGCAGAGAGCCTGGCCCCGATCTCGTTAGTTGCCCCCTACGACAAGCATGGGTTAATGAAGATCAATTTTACCCCGGATCTTCACGGGTCCCTTGAGCTGTGAGATACATGTAACTGAATGTGTTTTTTTCTGACAACTTGGGATGACGTATTCATTTGTTTCTGTTGAACCATTTGTGAAACAAGATGAAAGAACTGGAATGGTTTTGTAATCCCTTCCCCAAAGTATGCATCATGTATCTATTTATCTTCAGACTGCAGAGCTCCGTTACCAACATTTGTTTTGTCTTGTGCATTCGAGTAGTTGACTTGCGTGTGACAACGGTGAGTACGTGAGTGAGTTTAGTTTTAAATCACGCGCAGCAATATTCCAGCTCTATGGCGGCGATCTGTAAATAATCGAGTCTGGACCAGACATTACAGGGATTAACAGCACACATGCCATCGTATCCCAATTGCATAAAATAAGCGTAAAAATAAACAGAAATTACATCATGCAAAGTAGGACAGGTTGTTTGTTTGTTTGTTTGTTGTTTAACGCCACACTCAGCAATAATCCAGTTATATGGCGGCGGTCTGTAAATAATCGAGTCTTGGCCTGACCATCCCGTGATCAACATCCTGAGGATAAATCTACGCATTTGGGATACAATGACATGTGTCAACCAAGCCAGCGAGCCTGACCATCCGATCCTGTTATCCGCCTATAAGACAAGCATGGGTTACAGAAGATCAATTCTAACCAGGATCTTCATGGGTTGCTTTTGGACACGGGGTTGACGTGTAACACGAGGTTGAGCATCGATCTGCGCAATTGGGAACCGTTGACATGTGTCAACCAAGCTAGCGAGCCTGACCACCCGATCCCGTTAGTCGCCTCTTACGACAAGCATTGGTTACTGAAGGTTCATTCTAACCCGGACCTTTACGGGTCTGAGTTGATGAAGAATGATGACAAATTTTATGGATATACAGCTTACCGTATACCGGGAAATGTTCGAGGTATCTAATTTTCGAGGTTTTCGAGGTTAGAAACGCAACCTCGAAAATATTATATCCACGAATTTTTCCGAACTTCGTACCTTTGGTCTAGATTTCCTATCGATAAGCATTTCAACTGCTGGCAAACAATGACTTCCTGACATGCGCATTAACTCTGTAATGCCTGTCAACAACCACGCTATTAGACTCATTTTGTCTCGTCAAAATGTAACGGCATCGACTGAAACAAACTTATATTCGTGCGATGGCACGTTTGAGTCAAGCTACTTACATGTATAAACTATCGTAAACAAAAGAGTTCAACTTCTCAGCTTTCTAACAACAACTTAGTTTCAGCAGAGACCCATGCATACATGCTTATAACTAGTTGTTAAGAAAACAATATCGTCTGAGAAAAAAATGGCCTCATGTCGGAACTCTGCCGACAGAGTGTTTCGTGGGCCATTTATCATAACAAAGGATCAAACGTTTGTTTTCATTACTATTATTGCTGTCATGGACTGGTATACCGGTTGTTATAACAGTCAGACAGCAGTTATCACTGGCTACTGAGAGTTTTGCTGATAGCAAAATTGGTCCGTTAAGTGATGTTTCTGGCCACTTTCTTCTAACCTCGAAATTAACATTGTCTAAAATATTTACATATTTTAGGTCCCCAAACCTCGAAATTTAAATCACCTCGAAAGCTCTGGGGGTCTCAAACCTCGAAATTTTAATACCTTGAAAATTTCCCGGTATACGGTATTCTGTGAAGGTCGACGTCTCGACATAGATTCTAATGTGGCCCTTCGCAGATTAAAAGAATTGTATATCCATAAAAATTGTCATCATTCTGTACCATGGATGTCATGGAGTATATACTACAACATGTGGACATTCGTAAATGGGCTGACATATGTTAACAGGTCTAACTTGGATTGTTGTTTTTTTTACCAAATGAATTCTTTCAGGTTATAAAACATTTAAATCACTGTAAAACCATGGTGTAATTGTAACATCTTGTTTCTGGTAATATTCAGCACATACATCTTGCTATATATTCGATTCCCTATATTGGATACAATGTGTGAAGCCCATTTCTACTGTCACAAAAAGCAGTGTAAAACCATATTCACTCAATTACACACTCACTCAAGTTCATATTTTATTAGTCGCTCTTTTAAGTATGAAAATAAACACGATTGCTAAGGATCCAAATGTCATTATTGGTGGATCAATATTTGCTGACTTTCAAATAGTGCTGATGTGAAGTATTCGTGGAAAGGTAAGCATCTCTTGCCCTATCCGTGGTACCAGCAAAGAGCGTGCAAAACAAATCGTACATTCTGTTATAAAGACACCAATTATGGTAAGTCAAAGGGAGCGAACAAAATCGGACAAAATCGGACTGTATTCGCCCATACTTTGAATACACAATACCTTCGCTTTGACGTTTTTTCATTCAAATTTGGAAACAATAAATCATAACTTCTGTCAGTGACCTTAATTTTTTTAATGGCAAACATACCTTGTAGGAAGATAGAGAAAACAGCGAGCACAAGGTTTCTCATTGTAAGCGTCATGTTGATTCAGTATCTCGACTGACTGAGTGAGTTTAGTTTTACTCCGCTTTTATCAATATTCCAGCAACATCACGGCGGGGGACACCAGAAATGGGCTTCACACAAAGTACCCATGTGGGGATTCGAACCCGTGTCTTCGGAATGACGAGCCAACGCTTTAACCACTAGGCTACCCCACCGCCCTTCAGTATCTCGAAGTAGTTTGAATGTTTACATCTCCCACTGATACGTATCTATGATGGAAATAGATCCAAGCTGTAATATTTATAAAGAAGACTATAAAATCAATAACAGTGATAGATTAATCGTTTCACTAATTAGCTGAACCAACTCTGATTATTGATTTTAGACATGTCATTAAGTAACATTTGCCGTGACAGTTGCTAAGGAAAATAAACAGGGTCAAACTGTTCAAGAAAAACATCATGCCATACTGAATTGTCATTTCATGAAATAAAACTGACTGAGTTTGGTTTTACGCCGCTTTTAGCAATATTCCAGGAAGATCACGGCGGGGGACACCAGAATTGGGCACATTGTACTCATGTGGGGATTCGAACCCAGGTCTTCGGCGTGACGAGCCAACACTTTAACCACTAGGCTACCCCACGGCCCCCATGAAATAAAAGGAAATACTTGTATGGTGCACTAAACATTAATGAATGAATATACTCAGCAGCCATTAGTCTTGGTAGACTGCTAACCTGGCGTGACAATACTTACAGTAAGCTGACGAATATCAAACATTTTCTTGTGGGAGATTATACCAGGTCCAGACGTAGCACTACAAAAGATGGGATTCCTAAGGACAGGAAGGTGAGCTCGAAAAACCTGGAATTTGACACGTACAACAGGCTCGACAACAAAGTTCGGAGGCATTTGAAAAAAATATATAATTTTTGTGTTTGTTATTTATGGCCACACTCCGCCATAGTTCAGCTATATGGTCTGCAAGTAATCGAGTCTGGACCAGATATTCCAGTGACTGACATCATGAGCATCGATCTACGCAATGGGGATACGATGACATGTGTCAAGCACGTCTGCGAGTCTGATCACCCGATCCCGTCAGTCGCCTCTTACCACAAGCATGGGGTACTGAAGATCAATTCTAAGCCGGATCTTTACGAGTTTTGAAAAAAAGATTTTTGAAATACTGCTACAAACAATATTTCAGCTAAATAGCCAATCGTAGGACACAATACTTAATGCCAATAGATAATGCTCTCATGAGTGAGTGAGTGAGTGAGTGAGTTAAGATTTAAAGTCACATCGGCAATATTTCAGCCATATCGTGACTACTCTCATGCTTCAAGGTACAATTATTGATCATTTATATATTACCTGTGATGCATCTAATATATGAATGATCATCATTTTTGTGGGAAGGGCACAGGGAATGAACAATGCAAGCATTATTGTTACGCTTCCAAGAATATTTCCAGGTCATTTCTTCTGGATTAATTGTTCCCGGTGTCTGTGTCAGATTGATCAGTAAGGAAAAATACCACTGGAGAAGGCATAAGATAAGTGATATGCGATACAAAATGGTCGTAAGAGGCGACTAACGGGATCGGGTGTCAGGCTTGCTGACTTGGTTGACACATGTCATCGGTTCCCAATTGCGCAGATGGATCCTCAAGCTGTTGATTGCTGGATTCTCTGGTCCTGACTCCATTATTTACAGTTCGCCACAATATAGCTGGAATATTGCTGAGGGCGGCGTAAAACTATACTCACTCACTCACTCAAACATACCTTTATATAAAAACAAAATCAAAAGACTATGAAAACAATAAATCTTCCCAAATTGGCAAAGTAAGTAAACTGCAAATTCTTAACTAAATATTCTACTCCAAAAAGCACTAAAGAACTTAAACATCAACCACAAATCCAGACACATTGACAGGGCGATAACTAAATTACAAACAGGTCACACAAAATTCAAGTCCCATCTACACAAAAAAAAAAAAAAAACAACAGAAACGTCCGAACACGTCCTACTACAATCCACACAATACCGAAATCAGTTAAAAAACGTAACCATAAAACCAAAAACAAAAAAAACCCATCAAATATCAACCAAGCCATTTTGTACTTCCGCTCCCTCTCCCCTTGCGACTTCTGATAAATTCAATATTGCTGAGTGCGGCGTAAAACAAAACTCAATCACTCTGATAAATTCATAGAAAAATGAATTATGCAACCCTAACGACTCCTCCATGTTGCCCTGTCTTTCCGTCATTATCACCTCTTTCGATCTCACACTGAAAGACTTGGCAGGTGAAATACGCATCATATTGGAAAGCGCACGTAAATCTCCAAATCTACAATCAATCAATATTGGCGTGTTCTGACACAGATTATTTTTAGGAAAAGGGGGCCATGGGGTAGCCAAATGGGTAAAGCGCTCGTTCGTCACGACGAAGACCCGGGTTCGATGCCTCACATTGGTACAGTGTGAGAAGACCCTTTCTGGTGTCCCCCGCCTGATATTGCTGGAATAGTTCAAAAAGCGGCATAAAACTAAACTCACACTGTGGAAAAGTTCTAACCCTGTTATTGACTGTTAACAAAGTGAGAGAGGACATGACCCCTTTTGTAGTTTGCTGATGTTTCAATAGGTTTCATGACTGCCGACATTGTAATCACTCACATTGATTCTTTTTTTTTCCAAATCCATTCATTCGGTCTTATACTCTTGGACTGTGTCTGTTACAGAACTGTGCTCTTGAGACAAGGTGTTCATATCAATAAATAAAGTAAAATAGACAAAGAAGTACAAATCTACTGTGTTAGTACTCATGATTAGCTGAGTACAGTGAAAGAAACTAAGGTATCGAAAGAGTCTGAACTCAATTATCACGCATATGTACGCTTGTTTACCAATTCAGTTCAATATAAGCTATACCAGCTGTAACAAAGATTGATACAGCAACAATCAGGCCTGAAAATCAGCCAGACACACAGACAGCTAATTAGACGGATTGTGTTCAATAAATAACCGGGAGTTCATTATCAACTGTACACGAAACAATAACAAAATTATAGTTCAGTTCAGTTTAACGTGTACGCGAGACGGATCCCGTTACGGGTGGCTGTGGGTTGGTTTGTTGTTTAACGCCGCACTCAGCATGTTCCAGCTATTTAACGACGGTTTGTAAATAATCGAGTATTGACCAGACAATCCAGTGCATGAGAATTGGAATCATCTGGAATGCTCTCCTTTCCACAATATTAGCAGAAAATGTATAAGTAACTCTTAGCATGACGACTGACGCGCACTACCGAGTATACTTTCAAGGAATACACCAAGTAGAATTTTGCTAATGCTGGAAAGGACTGATTGAAACTAGTCATGGTATGCTCGAGAACTCAACCAACGTTTGGAATTGTAGTCATTAACGATCACAATACATATTCATTTTCCGTCCTTTCCATTTTTGGACATAAAGAGTCACAATGTGGAGTTCCTAGCATATTAATTGCCATATCGCTGGGTAGAAAGATCTTGGCAATGTAATCAAGGATACAATCTACGAGACTCAGTGTAGCCTTGTTGTAAAGGCGGTATTCAATGACGGCATGGGATCGAGGTTGTGTGGGGAGAGTTTTGAATTCAAGAGTATTACGTAAATACATTAACGTGGTTATTCGTGTACCACACATGACTTCTGTCAATTTTACAGTGCGAACCCCTTGAGATACCATACCACAGTTCATAACGAATACCCGGTTTAGAGAGTCATATTGCCTCCAAGCGGGACCAATCCACAGGTTGCTCCCTCTCAACCGTTCGCCAGGCACAGTACCACATTTGATCTAGATTAGTGAGAGCATGATACCTTCTCAAGGATTGTATAACAAGAAACGTATTACATATTTGTTCATTCAATATTTGCTGCCACATGCTTCTGACGAATTGACAAGTAGCTGGTTTTAATCACTGTATGGAAACGTGGTGGTAGACATTGACGTCCAATGTGCAGATTTATATCGGCCTAGTTTCAAGTTCGTTAATCATAAATTGACATCAGGTTGTTTTGACTGCTGCGGTGACACTTCAGGCAGTTTGAAATCAGCAATTGTAGACATATTTGCTTCTGTTATATGTTGTTGAATGCGGATTCAACATAGAGTAAGTGACGTTGGTGTCGTATCATACAAGGTCAAGGGGAGGTAAAAACAATGTTGAATATAGGATTGGATGGACTGGAATGGAGTTTACTAATATATTGCAGAGCCAGTTTTACCCCTATGATTTCAAGACAATGGTCATCAGCTTCCACATGTAAGCTTCCTTCGACCTTAATGGTGAATGGAGTCAATTTCTTGAATATATAATATACTAGGTGAAGCATGTTTAAAAGCAGCCACAATGACGCTTAGATATAACCAATGTTCTCCAGTGATAGAGAAGTTTTTAATGGTGTCCACGTCATTTAGCATCTGAAGCTACCTTCGATATATGTTTTTTTTTTAAGCATTACAATTTTAATGTCGGGAATAAACGTCCATTTGTTGTCAAAGGTTATTCCTAAAACATTGGTCTCTTTGATCAATTTGATATGAATTATACCTAAGAATAGCACTGGATGTATTTTTACTGTACTGCAAAAGTGAATACAACATTTTGCGTTTTTTTCCGTTTTCCAGTTACCATTTGTGCATTGTGTTCTCGCAAACTTGTTGAAGTTGCTGTCTTTTAAAAGCGCTCGTCTTGGTACCAATCAATATTTTCAGTTTATTTATGTTTCACCCGTTGCATAAGATGACTGTATGCAAATTAACAAATAGGCTTTTGGGGTTTTTTTTATTGTTTAACGCCGCATTTAGCAATATTCCAGCTATAAGGCGGAGGTCTGTAAATAATCTAGTCAGGACCAGACAATCCAGTTATCAACAGCATGAGCATCGATCTGCGTAATTGGGAACCGATGACATGTGTCAACCAAGCCAGCGAGTCTGAACACCCGATCCCGTTAGTCGCCTCTTACGACAAGC